ATGCATCCTTATTATGGCATCCAACCCTTACCACAGCATCCACCCATTATTTTAATTCCTTAACTGTCATCATTTTTAAATTTGACAAATATTGATTGACAGCCCATTATGTTACAGATACTGTATTCTCCTCTGTATACAGAATGTGGTAAATACAGAGTATTGTAGAAGCACATTTAGGATGTAAGAGAAGTCCAAGAAATGTTTCTTAGTGATTTGTGTTCCCATCTATTTCCCTACTAAATTAAACCAGACAGTTTCATAATCATTTCTGAGTTCTTTGAATTACTGAACATAGTATATAGTAGATAAACATTTTATATCATCAATGATTGGATTTTAAACATATGCTAAATATTATTTGCATTGCAAGAGGCCACCAGCCAATACTTTTTACCCAGTGAGGTTTTCTTTGATATCACTTTGGATACAATAGAGTGTAAAAAGCAAAGAGACAAACTAATATAGTGGAAAATATAAAACTCAAGAGTCAGAACACTGTGATTAATAATTCTGCCACTTACTAGGTATGTGTCCTTGGTCAAGACCCTTAAGCTCTCTGAGCCTCAATTTCCTCATCTGAAAAAGGCAGTTACAAGAATGAAATGAGATAAAGAGAAAATAAAAGCATAAAATGTAAAAGGTTATCCAAAATTATGTCTATTATTATTATTGTTCTTAAAGTCAATGCTGATCAAGTATCCTTATGACTGGTTATCCCAGTTCTGTAAGGCCACAGGATTTCCAAAGTTCATCCTTCATCTTCCCTTTACATCTAAGAGATAGACAATTGTACTTTAATAAATACATATTGATGGAAATGGTTAAAAAATCACAAAGAAAAACAAGCCAAAAATTGAATAAGTATATATTTACATATGAAAGAAACAAGACAGAAATACCAGCCTGTGAAAGTCTATAATTTGAATGTATGGACCAGAAAAAAAAATCAGGCAACGATTCTTTTTTCTTAATGTTGACTGAAAGGGTGGGTAGGGAGGTGGCCCAAAAGAGTAATGCTGTGAACCATTTCAGAGTAAAATGGTAACCCACTGAGCTAGAAAGTCAGGATATCTGGGTTCAAATACTAATTTAGCTACTAATTCAACCACTAATACTCAGGTGGTCTATCCACCCAACACTCTGGTCTTTCAGTTCCTTGATCTCCTTAGTTCCTATCATTTTTTCTTCCACTGTATCTCAGCTGCTCCCTCACAGGATCACAAATCTGAAATGGCCATTCAACTTTGCCCAGTGTGCTACTATTCTGATTGCTTTCCATCCTCCAAATGACTATTTTGTATCTTATCTTCTCCCCTTAAATCTCCTACCCAAATATTCCTCCTCACCCCTTACTAATCTTGCCTCCTACCTTATCTTCATTGAGAAAAAGTATCACTATCAGGCAGAAAGTTCTCACCTCTGACCACTGAATCGACCCATCTATCTGCAACTCTACCCATAGTTGCTTTTTTCTTATTACTAGAAATTACATGTTCATGTTCCTACCTAAGGCCAAAACATCTATATATTCCCTGGATCCCATCCCCTCTCATTTTCTCAAAGATTTCACTCCTAAAATATACACACTCTCTCTTATACCATCATTTCCACTCCCCTCCAATTAGATCATTCCTATTAGTCTAAAAATATGCTTAAGTATGCTTATCTTTAAGAACCCTTCTTGGCCAGGCACGGTGGATCACACCTGTAATCCCAGCACTTTGGGAGGCTGAGGCAGGTGGATCACGAGGTTGAGTTTGAGACCAGCCTGGCAACATGGTGAAACCCCATCTCTACTAAAAATACAAAAAAAAAAAAAATAACCAGGTGTGCTGGTACGCCCCTGTAATCCCAGCTACTCAGGAGCTGAGGCAGGAGAATCACTTGAATCTAGGAAGTGCAGGTTACAGTGAGCCGAGATTGCACCACTGCACACTAGCCTGGGCAACAGAGCGAGACTCCGGCTCAAAAAAAAAAAAAAAAAAAAAAAAAAAGAGAACTCTTCTTTAATCATACATATTCCTTTATTGCTGCTACTTCTTGGCTCTCCTTTATAGTAAACAACTTGAGATGTCTATAGTACTACGTCAATTTCTTGACACCACATTTTCTCTTCGATGTACTAGTTAAGGCACATAACTACTTTACATTTCCAAAATCCAATGCATATATCTTTTCATTTCACTTAATTTCTAAGGATGATTTAATCCTATTGGCCATGTTTTGTAGTCTTGGCTTTTATGTCACTGCACTCTTTAGATTTTCTTCCTACTTCATTGGCTATTCTTCCATCCCCTTTGTTTGCTTCTTTTCCTCTGCTTTACACTAGTCACTGCAATGTTCTCTGTAAACACACTTGCCCTAGGTAATTTTCCATATGCTGGTGCCTCCCAACTTTGTATCTTTGGTCCCTTGCACTCTGCACAGAGCTCAAGACTCAACTTACCTTTGATTTCTAATAAGCATATAAAAATTAACCTAAGCAAAATGAAACTCCCCTCTGCCCCCACTGCTCCTTTTTCTTCCTTAGTCTTTTCCATTTGGTAAATGGCACAACCATCCACACAAGCTCAAGACAAAAACCTAGGGGTTAGAAGTGACTCCTTTTTCATCACCTCTATATTCAAAACATCAAAATCTGTAGTCTCTGCCACTAAAATAGAGCTCACATATATCTATTTCTCTGTTATTTTTACCCAAACTTGTCATTCTCTTTGGATTTCTGCAATTGTCCTCTGCTTTAGATCTTGTTCCCCATCCCCTGTGATTTAGTCATCACATAACAGGCAGAACAAACCTTTTAACAATGTAAATCAGTTCCTCTCACTCCCTTTCTCCAAACTCACTACTGGTTTCTCTTCATACTTGAAATAAATTCCAAACTTCTTCCCTGGGTAGCTAGCTCTCCATGGCCTATTCAAAGCCCTACATGACTTGGCCCCTACCTATCTCTCCAAGCTCAACTTGTACCACTTTCTCTACATTCTAGCTACAGTGGTCTTTATGATGTTCCTTGAAGGAGCCAAGTTCTTTCCTACCTTAGGGCTCTTGCAATTGGAGTTGCCTTTAACTGTAGTGCTCTGATCCCAAATATTTCTATGGTTGGTTTTTTAAAAACATCACTAAGCATTCAGTCTAAACTAACTCCTCTCCCGGTCTTTCTTCCTTCACTATTTCACGTCTTCACTGTGCTTTTCATTACCCACAATTCCTTTCTTATATATTGTTTATCTATTTATTTTCTAACTTCCACTCACTAGAATTTAACTTCCTAAGAACAGGGATCTTTGCTAGTCTTTCTTACCATTGTATTCACAATGCCTAAAACACTGGCTGGCAAAGTAGGATATTCTTTTAAAAATACTTGATGAATGCCTTTCCCTAAGCAAGTCACTTGACTTCTCTACTTAAGTCACACTGGTGAGTTTACTACTGCTAGACTTAGCTCTGGGTCCAGGAAAAACAAAGGTGCTTAAGGTATGGCTTCTTCAGAAGCTCATCCATTCATTCCTCCAAAAGATATTTTTTGAATGTATATTATACTATGTTCCAGGTACTGTTCAATCTCAGTGTTAACTAACAGAAGTGTTTAAACAGGATGAGTATGAAAAAAGTATAAAATGAGAAGTACTGTAAAATGATATTTTATATGTTACTATTAAAACACCTATTTCCTTTTGTCTGGTAATTGGCAGGACCTTATGACAAGAGCCAACTGAAAAACAGCAGTATAAATTCTGGTACTCTAAAAGCCCAGACTTCAGCACTATGCAATATATCCACACAACAAAACTGAATTTGTACCAACTAATCTGTATTGATTTTTAAAAGTAAGTTAAAAAAATGCTGGTACTCACAGAGGACAATCAATATGAATGCCCTTTTCATAGGCACACAGTCACTAAAATATTTGGGGCATGAATTCTCTAGGGGTGACAATATTAAGTTTTTCACACTTCTATTGCACAAATAATTATATTTATCTCTATGGAAAATCAAAGAGTGGGGTGTGGCCTCTCTCAGTGCCAACTGGGCCAATTGCCTCCCTGCATCACTAAATCTGATCTTTCATAGGCTCTAGGACACCTATAGAGGGGAGTAAGGGACCTGGTTATGGTACTGCAGAGCTCTTGTAACACACACAGTATGCATACAACTGTCCTTTTTCCTTCAAAAGCATTAGTCTAAAGCCGGGATTCCCAACCCGTGGGCAGCAGACGGGTACAGGTTTGTGACCGGTTAGGAACAGGCCACATAGCAGGTGAGCCGGGCTAGAGGATTACCGCCTGAGCTCCACCTCCTGTTAAATCAGTGGAGGCATTATTCTCACCGTGCACACGTGATTGTGAACTGCGCATGTGCGGGATCTAAATTGCGCCTTCTAATAAGAATCTAATGTCTGATGATCTGACATGGAAGTGTCATCTCATCCCCCAGTCCCCTTTCCCCTGCCCCAAATTGTCTTCCATGAAGCCAGTCCCTGGTGCCAAAAAGGTTGGGCACTGCTGGAAGTGTTTGTCCACTAGGTTAAAACCAAGAGTAAACAGGCTTGAGGGGCATGGGGGTGGGTAGGTGGGGGGAAGGGAGCCTTCTCAGGACCTGCAACCAATCCCAGAACACGTCTCCAATCACAGGAGCATGTGAAGGTTTATTTGCAGAAATCTACCATTTGTAAAATAGTTTAAGCTTAATAAAATTAATTTTGCAGTTAATCTTGACTGACAGACGTCTTTTTTCTTTCTGGCGAATATTTGTAAAATAAGAAAAAAGAAGAACAAAGAGAGATGTAGGATGAAGGAGTAAGGAAATGAGTCAGGGAGAGGAGAGACAACGTCTGTGGCTGTTTCCTCAGCATCTGGGAGAGGCGCCCAAGCAACCCATGGAACTGAGCGGGAGCAAAGGCCCTCCTGAGGCCTACTGCAAGGAAAAGACCTCGGGAGACCCGGGACTAGCGCCAAAAGGCTTGGAAAGGCGGAGTTAAGAAAAATGGGCCGTACCTACAACTCCTTTCGCAGCCCTCGCTGGCCGGGAGCGGCCCAGGAGCCTAGTAACGGTCGCGTAAGCCACGCGGCACCCGAGTGAGCAAGGTGGTGGAGCGAACACCCAGCCCGCCCTCCGCGCAGGGGCGGGGCGAGGGGGCGGCGGCGCGTTTAAGTGACGTTTTAGCCGCCCGCGCCGGCAGAGGCGAGAGTTCCGGGGTTCCTGGGAATGTCTGGTGTGTTTTCGGTCTACTGAACTGAAACAGACGTCCTTTCGACATCTCTTCTGAATATTGACCTATCGGGTTATGGATATCCAGGGACAGAGTTGACATCACTGGGCGTTTTAGCCAAAAAGCAGTGCTCGGGACTGCATGTGCCAGAAGTAAACTTGTGAAAACTCAGATCGTGTTTCCCCTAAAGTCAGCTTAAAGTGCAATGGTAAAAGAGCGCGGTCTCGCCCCAAGACAGCCTGAGCTTAAACTGCAGCACTGTCACTTGCTAGTTATGGGACCTAGGTAAATACGTCATCTCCCTGAGCTCGTCTTCTCATCTGTAAAGGACACTGTGGTGCTATGAGAGTAAATGAGACAGGGCAAGTGTCTGGAAGAGACGCTTTGTACAAAGTAAACACTTAATATACTGTTATCAATATAAAACCTTTGTGGGTATGTTTTGTTTTCTGCATGAAATCTTATGTGGAAACGGCCTATGAAAGAAAGGAAAGCAGAGCTGCGTTGATGGTGGGTCCAGAAGCTTTGGCGTTTCGGTCCCAAAGCTTCCACTAATAGAATCCATGCTTCCTATAAAAGACAAAAACAACTGTTATTGGAGAAAATTCAAGCTTCTTAGAAAGATAAACCGCCCTTTCCTATCTAATGTTTCTCCTGACATTCAAAACAATGTTTACTAGTGAACACTGTATTCCTTTTTGCCTCAGTGCGTTTTCTAAAGTTAATTCCTCTAACGGAGTGTTCTTTTTCTTAGTCATTTAAGATCTGATTCAAATTACGGCTCTTTCTTGGGTAACTTAAATACGAAATTATCTTTTTATTGGTTTTCTTTTTGTCGTTGTTGAGACAGGGTCTCGCTCTATTACCCCGGCTGGAGTGTAGTGGTGCTATCTCGACTCACTACAGCCTCTGCCTCCCGGGTTCAAGCGATCTTCCTGCCTGCCTCCCGAGTAGCTGGGACTACCGGCGGGCGCCAGCCCCCGCCTCCCCGGCTAATTTTTGTATTTTTAGTACAGAGGAGTTTCACCCTGTTGCCCAGGTGGCCTCGAACTCCTGGACTCAAATGATCTGCCCGCCTTGGCTTCCCACAGTGCTGGGATTACAAGCGTGAGCCACCACAGCCTGGCCCTTTTTATTAACACCTTCCTTCGACGTCATATAGACATCTCAGCACGGATTTAAAGTTATTTTCTTCCTCATTTCGGGCAAGTAGACAGTGTTTCGTGATTATAGGGTTAAGGGAATGTTTTGTATTCACAGGAAAAGCAGGTAGATCCCTAAAGATACTGGGAGGAGTGACCAGTGGTAGAGCTGGGAAGGAAGACCTTTGCTAGGAGTCTGTTTGCCTCTTATGCTCTAAAAGGAATGGGCTCCTGGAGAGGTAAGTGCTTTAGGGTCCACAGAAGGAAGATGTAGGGCACATCAACAATTGAAGCTTTGGAATTCTCACGAGGTCAGAGGGCTCAGGCTGGATTTGGGTCAGTCAACTGTAAATATATTACAAGCTCCCCAAATGCCATGAAGCAATTCCCACCTGTTATAGAGAGCTACATAAATGATTCATATAAAAGTATAATGTTCTGAGACCTTATAAAAAATACTGTGGTTCATTGAGAGATAAGATAATGAAAATTTACCAATAAAAAACATTTAAACAATCATCTGATAACCTTTCTCATAAAAATTAAGTGTTTTAAAAATAAGTAAATTTATTATATTTGCAACAATGTCATAGACAGCAAAAGCTTTTGAGGAGTAAGGAGAATCTTAACTGACAGCACTTTTTTAAAACTAAATTTGACATGATACATGATAGTTTCATACTTCTGAAAGTACTTCAACAAACATAAAAATTTGGACAATGATCTATTTAGTATGATTTCAGTGCAAACTTTCTTTTCTAATTCTCTTCATCAGTCTCAAGTGCCAATCACTTTCTATGATCCAGCCTTTACTGTTTTCAAAATTTTGCTAATATGCCAGCCTCCCACCTAGTTGTTCCCGTCTTCACCTTATTCCCTAATATTACCCCATCCATCCAGAGCCTCTCCACTACTGAAGGTCTAGTTCAAGTATCAGCTCCTCTAAGATTTATTCAGCTTCTACACTAAGAACACTTTTGAATTATTCACTTGCAATATAGCTATTTGTAAGTATCTTATTTCCTTCTAAGGTTCTTAAAGGCAAGTATCATGTCTTATTCATATTTGTATTGCTTACAGTGTCAATTTTCCCCTAGAATTCAAAAATCGAGGCTTTAAATATCTTGTTCATCACTGTATTCCCTACTAGGTGGTACAGGACCTGGCACATAGGCGTGTTTTAATATATTCTGAGTGAGGGAGTAAATGGATTTTAAAACAAGCTCCATGAAGGCAGGCATTTGTGTTTTATTCATTGCAAAATGAATATTTGAATATAAACATATGCTTTCTTTTAAGGCTCAGCATTCATTATGTACAACAAAATTCTTCAATCTACATAGCATCATAAAAGTCAAACATGAAGTATGCCTTTCACCCAATAAATTCAGAAGATATCTTTCTGAAAATAATACATCCCCCAAAACTGCAAACAATTTACAAGAAAAGTAGTTTCAGTTTTCTTCTTTGTATCTTTCTGTGTTCTAAATTTTCTGCAATGAAAATGTGTTATTTTATAATCAGAAAAAGTAATCAATACTATTTTTAAAGAATGTAGTAGATGAGATCTTTTGCAAATATACACCTGAGGTAATTTTGAGGACATCAAAGTCAATCAAGGTGATTCGAAGTTACTACCAAAGAGAAAAATGAAATATGACACTTCTTCAGGGACTGAATTATGTCCTTCCCCACAAATTCATATGTTGAAGCCCTAACCTCCAATGTGATGTATTTGGATATGGGGATTTGCCAGGCTGGAGTGCAGTGGAGTGATCTCAGCTCCCTGCAACCTCTGCCTCCTGGGTTCAAGCAATTCTCATGCCTCAGACTCATGAGAGTAGGACCTTCATGATGTGATTAGAGTGCCTTTATAAGAAGAGGCACCAGAGAGCTTGCTTGCTCTTTCTTGGCATCATGTGATGACACAGTGAGAAGGTGGCCAATGACAAGCCAGGAAGAGAGACTTCATGAGAGCCCAACAATGCTGGCATCCTGACCTTGAAATTCCAGCCTTTAATGGAAATATGTTTCTGTTGTGTAAGCTACCCAGTGTATGGTATTTTATTATAGCAGCCCAAGCTGATTAAGACAGACTAAGCAGGCTAAGATCTGAACTGCTGTGTGGCAGGTAGTTTTCTGATATGGAGAGAGAATTCCATTCCTCTCAGATTTAGTCAGTAAATGTTTATTAAATGTCTACTATGTTCTATGCCCTGTGAAAAATGCTGATTGTTTAAAGATAATTAAGACAAGGTTCCTACCCATAGGGACTGATTTAATAAGAGACAAACATGTAAATAAATGGAACAAAAGTGTTATATGTGCTCTGAAAGAAGTATGTATAAGGGATCCGAAGGTTATAGTAATTGTTTCTATCTGTAGTTTAAGTGCGGCTAGGTTTGGTTGGTCAGTACTCTATGAGGTTAACTCTAATTTCACCAACAAAGTAAAGACATGTGGCTTTCAATGTGGTGACAAACCTTGGCCTTCACATGGTGAGCCCTGCTGAATGGTCAGCTTCTGTCATTCTTGACTGCACCATCTCCATGATATATAATAGCAACATAGTCTTATAGCAATTAATAAATTCCTACAAAGAGCTTCCAGGAATAGGCACAAATTTCAGAGATTATTTCAATAGAGGAAGTCAAAAGGCCAGCACTGGGCAGTCACAGAGATTTAGACTGTGGCTGCCCTCTTAGAGATAGAAAAGAACTTGGTGCATGCCCTGTAAAATGAAACAGGTATTAGCAATGGCTTGAGGTGCCCTTCAATCAATTCTATACTCTGTGGACTTTCATTTCGAATTTTCCTTGGGGCTCTAAATATTTTCAATAGCATTCTGATTTAGTTATACTAACTGTATTTTGTATAAGTTAGTAAGTATTCCAAGCTTGTTACTTGGAGAAAATGCCACTGATGACCTGGGAAACAGCATGACGTGTAACACCTTTTAGTCTCACATCCCTTTTGCTGGGTAAGTCCTAATCAGCCCTCAGCCAATGTCCTAATTTCTCTGGGAAGCTGTGCCTAAACTCCACCAGCCTTGGATTGATTGAGTGCTTCTGCTGTGAGCTCCCTGAAACCCCTGTAGTAACTGTATAATAGCACTTATCATATTGTTTTGCATTCTCTTGTTTGTCTGTCTTCTCTTCTGGACTGTTAAATTTTTAAGGACAGGAACAATATTATTCTTGATGTGCCTGGATCTCGAAAGCTTTCAGTAAGTATTTTTTGAATGCATCTACTTACAGAGCCTGCAAAAATAGTGGACCAGATGATTATTAAGTTTATGGTGCCCCCAGCAAAGTATACCTAACCAGTGAAGTTCAGTTCAAAATACTTTTCTGACCTTTGGTATAAATTAATCAAGTCCAAATTAAGAGCATAAACACTAAAGGAGTACAGCACCATAGGGTAACCAAAATCAGGTGGACATAAAATTGAAGGTCATTTAGAAGAGGTGACTATTAAAGTAGTTTTGAATAGAGGTGAAAGGCATGGTGAATAAGGCTTGAACAGAAATCTAATGAAGACAGGAAAGGACAGGCTTTATTTATGCAGATCAGCTTGTTGGGATTAGGACATTCATAATTCATTCATCTAATATATATTTAATATCTACCTCAAGATTAAAATGAACTTTGAATTCTAGGTCAAGGAGTTTAGATAGGACACGACAAGTATATAATAAAT